AATAGCAATAATATAAGCTATCAGTTACTAAAGTCCTAATATGTATCAAGCACTCTACTAGTACATTACATATGTTAACATATTTAATCCTCAAAAACCCCTACAGAATACATATTTATTCATATTGGAGATGAAAGAAAAAGATTCAGGGAGATGAAGTAATTTCGCAGGTACCATGGTTAAAATATTTCGATCCATGTTGTTCCAGATTAATTGATATTGATGCCCACATGCTGTCCACTCCTATCTTTGCTCCATCTCCATTCCTCACTTAATGAGCAAACTGTGTCACATTCCAAATCAAGACAAATTGTAAACACAACTGAAGTTTTTAAAAAAGCAATTCACTTTTTTTTTAAGGACACTGCCATCCTTATGTTACTGCAACCTGGAATGACCTCCCTCTCTCTCCTTTGTTATTTAACAAATGTTAGGAATAGGATGGATATTTTTCCATATACACTGCAGAATTTCTATATTAGTACAAGTACATGAAAGAAAAAGAAAATGGTAACTCTTGATTTTCTTTCAAACTGAGAAACCAAGGGATTATTTTACATGCAATTAACTAAGTAAAGGACACAGTGTTTGTCATTAATAGTGCTGTCTTTCATTGGATGAACTCAGGTCAAAGGTATTTAACATAAGAAGTAATTTCCTTTAGAGAAAACTCTTAACTGTAAATACCTTATCATCTGATTCTGAAAAATGGTTAGTGTGTACCTGTTTTCTGGATTTTAATGTAATTTTCATTATTATAAAAATAAAATTACTTCACTAAGACCTTTTTGAAGGTATATCTCTATGACAGAAGTTGATAAAAGTTGGATGTATTCACTATTTTCTCCCTGACTCATGTTACGTCAATCACATTTTGTTCAAAGCACTGATACTCTTAATTTGGAATTGCCAGGTGAATATAATTAGCCATAATTATTACTGAAACAATTTCATATTCTGGAATATTAAAAAGTGAAAAACCATCTACTACTTATCAGTAACAGTAATTATTCATCTTCCAATTATGTAAGTGCTTTAACTCTGCAAGGATGAAATAAGTTTTTCAAGTATTCAAAGAAAGACAAGTTACCTTTCAAATGACCAAGACAAAACTGTTGCAACATTAACTTTAATATTTTAACTAATAACTTTCATATCTTGTATTTTTGAGTTTTCTGTATTGAAAACAACAAAAGGGTAGTCAAGAGACTTAAGTACCACTTGGTTATGCACTTTATCAATACTACAACTTCTCTACCATCTGGTTTATTATTCAACCAAGTTTCTGTCTCTACCACTCTACTTAAAAAGTCAAAACACTGTTAATTACCTTATCAATTCCTCCTCTTACTTGACCTTTTCTGAAGTATTTCAGGTTTCCTTTCCAGTCTTTTGAAAATGTTACACTTTTTGCCACCATCCCCTTCATAAGATATCTTCTTCTACTTAGCATATATTGGCATTTTCTTCAGACCTGTTCTAACCACACTTTCTCGGGCTGCTTCACTAGTTTCTCTCCTCTAGTGGCTCTTTCTATCTCAATATTCTCTGTGAAGTATCCTGGCACCTCTTTTCAGTATTTTCCCTCTTTTAATGATCCTTCTCATGGCCATGCCTTGAAGTATCATACATTTACTGAGGTCCAATTAGCCTAATACCGCCTCTTAAGCTACCCGACCACTCACGAATTTTCCCATTAGCTGAATGGAGTACTGCTACCTGAAGTTCAGTATATCTGAATTAAATTGATATTCTTCTCTTCCCACCCCAAGAAACCTGCTCTTCCTTCTTTCACATCTTCTATCTCAATCAAGTAACTGTGCAGACATAATGGTGATGGCATTCGTTCCTCTCTTCCTTGGCAGACAATGTGTCCTCTGTGCTCTAAACCTGAGGTAACGCTTCTGTAATGTGACCCTGAGCCCTCCTTTACTCGTCCTTCAGTCTAACTGCCATGGTCCTGGTTTTGCTCCCCTTCGTCTCTCAGTCCCACCTCCCAGCATCTGTAATTCTCTCTTCATTCTGGGGAAAGAATATGTCAGTCCTCTGTTCTAAGCTTCCAATGACTTCCACCACCTTATAGGTTAGACTCCAATATCTTTACCAGAGTTTGTAAGTTTTCTTACAATCTGGCCCAACTCATCTCATCAGCATTAAATCCATTCATTCCCACAAAAAAACCCTGGACTTGAGCTTCTAAGACCTAGGAATGTTGTCATGTCTTTTATTTTTATTTCTTCCCTTTGTCAGCTACAAGATCTCTCTGCTTTCATAGTGTTTTGTTCATGAGTATGGTATGCCACATTGTAACTGTTGTGTACTTACAGTATAGTTCGATTGGGACTTTCTTGAGGGCAGGGATGACAATATCCTAGTCACCCTCTACCACAGTGACTTCATATAAGTCACACAGTGAGTCCTCAACAACTCTTTGTCAACTGACTTAATAAAACTTCCATATAATATAACTTATGCATTAAATTTTCATATAGCATTCATCATATATCATATATTATGTATCATAAACCTTATGTATTACATAAAGGTGTACACTATATGCATATACCCAGCTTAATACACTATGTATACGTATATAGGCATACATGTGTTTATGGTGTGTGTATGTGCGTATGTGCATATACATATGACGGCACTTGAGGGTTGAAAAGGTCTTTAAATATTATCTTTTCTAACCAATGAATATTACAAAATAGGAAGCCAAGAACTAAAGTCATTAAATAACTCTGCCAATGTTCTATAGCTTGCAAGTGATAAACACAGTTAGGGTTCGCATCTCATCTCCTCATCCAGTGTACCTTTCACTACATCATTTTAGTTCAACAATCTCACCAATAATGTGATTCAAAATGATCTGCTCCACTATCCCACTGGAATGAACATCTTGGACTATCTCACTTCATTTTCTCTCCCAAGTCTCTTCTTGCCTCTTTATTCATGCCTTTTATGATTCTGTTATCTCTATATTTTCATTTACAGTGTATCCCTCTCCTTTAAATATTCCAATTTCTTCTGGTAGCTACTTTCAGGGTTTTTTTTTATATAGATATGGTAAAGTCTCCTCTCCCTATGGAAAAAAAAATTAAGAGGTCATTATTTTGCTCTCCAGTTTAATTCACCATTGTTTTCACCAAACCAAGGATCACCAAAAAAGAGATTATCCTCCTCATCATACTAGCTTATATTTGCACATGGACATAACTCTGAAGTTTACACATTACTTTCTCATAACTCACTCATTTCATCTTCTTAGTACTATGAATAATCAGGAGAGGGTCACAATCACAGGCAGCTGAGTAAACGGGGTGATCAAAAGTTAAGTGATCTGTTAGTAATCCTACAGTGAGCAATAGTTGGAACTGGCACTGGAACCAAGGTCTCCATATCCTTGCTCCTGAGAGCTTTCCACTATTCTGAACTGTTTATTGGCTAGTGTCCTCACCATGACATTTATGTTGACATATATTGGCATCTCAGATACTGCACAGTGAATGTTGCCTAGACTCTTCTTCGACCTGAATTACTAGTTGGCTCTTGTTACTTTAATGGTACAAATTTCAGGAGAGCAGGTACTATTTTGTCCAACATTTAAGTTACTTGAGAAGCTCCAAACATCCAAATAATACTATCCAACAGTAAATTATAATTTGATTAGTATCTGTTGTTATGACTTTAGCTTTAGCTAAATTACAGATCTTCAACTCTTTATTTCAAATTGAAATAAATTATTTCATCTGCATCCACTAATCAACAGATCTTTAAATGGTGAGTGTTAACAAGAATGGCTAACACTAATATCCAAATGGCTTTTCTCAATGTGTATGTGCTATTTCATGCAACATTCTGAGTCAAATTATGTACTCTAACTTTAAATAAATTTCTGTTCAATAGCCTCACTAAGTTGCTAGACAGATGTAACTTCTTTAAAAATTCAGAGTATCAGCGTAATTGTAAAGTAAACAGACCTGTCTCCGCATCAGGGGGCTACAGACAGCTGACACTCTCTTTAACTTGTTTGAGATTCAGTGACGAATGTATACCTTCCCTCCTTTCTACTGCATCCTTCTCCTTACTGTTTAGGCATTGTCAAGAAACTTAACTCATCCGTAGCCCCAAGCAATGGGAATAATGTTTTCCACTTTCTTCCTATAAACATGAAGTTTCAGGTCTGCGGAAGAATTCTCGGTATTCTTTAGAGGAGAAAGAAGCCACTGGAGAGGGGGTGGTAATCCCTCATTTGGCATTGTTTTCCTGCTTGTCAGTGCCCCACCAGGACCTCTAGCCAGTACTTTGCCAAGAGGTTCTGAGAGACAATTACTTGCTGCTTTTGCTGATTGGTTGAAAACAAAGCAAAAACATTGTCAAGGCAGGAAAAGTTTAAACCTAATCACCCTTACTGCACATTTTAAAAATCCTGCAACTCACTCATTAAGAATTGTGCTTCACAAGGTCTCAGTCAGCTCACCGGAGCCCCATTTGCCTTTAACTGTTAGAACTGCCCTCACTTGGCTTCTTTCCACGTGTCCCACATAAGCTATACTTAACAAATTCAACTCTATATCCATAGTATCACGGCCCTGACTAAACTGTTTGCCTAAACACAGAATAAAGACTGAATTAAAATGTTTCAATGCTCTTTGCTAGAAATATATTTAATAAAGTCCTAGCAGGATGAGAACGTAGAGGTTAAAAATACAGCACTTAATTATGAAAGTGAAGTGTTGGTTGTCCTCATTAACAACGGCGCTTTGAGAGAGAAATATCATTCCAGTGACTCACGAATGCTTTTTAGTTGTTAGGTTTTTCTTTCCTAATAGCATCAACCATGACCTAATTTGCTTCCTAAGAAGCATACTTTTTACCTTAGGAACCAGCCTACCCGGGCCACCAAGGAGCACAGGGGTCCCTCCCGAAGCACAGCAGTTTCGTAATGTGGACCCAGATGTGAAGATGGGAAGCAGGGGGAACTCCGTCCCACTTACCAGTCTTCCACAGATAGAGGGTGGGGGCCTCCGCCTCGCCCGGTGCCGCAGCCCCGTGGGCGCCCCGGCGCAGCAGCAGCGGCAGCAGCAGCAGCAGCGGCAGGACGGCCGGGCGCGAGCCCGCAGCGCCCGGGCTCCGGGACGCCAAGCTCCTCGCTCGCAGCCCCATGCCGCCCGCAGCCGCTCCAGGGTCCGGATCCAGGACGCAGCCGGCAGGGAATCTTCCTCCCCCCTCGGAACGTCTTCCCAAGGAGTACAGAAAGCAAAGCTCTTCCCAGCTATTGTTCGTGTAGGATGAAAAGGAGGGAAAACGCGTTTAACACCGGGGAACAATAGCGTCTGCGGTGGCCGTGGCTGTCGTCGCCACCGCCGCTGGCGGGGATGCTGCTGCCGCTGCCATTCCGCGCAGAGTGGCAGGTCCTAGCGGCGAGGGAGGCAGCTGTCCGCAGGGGGCCCCAGCTGACTGAGCAAGTCCGCGAGGTCTGGGAGGCAGCGCAGCCCCCGCCACCAGCTGGAGAGAGAGGAGGGGGGCGTGAGCCGACTGGAGCACGAGGGGGCTGCAGGCAGGGGGAGGCGAGAGCGCCAGGGCGAGAAAGGAGGCGAGCGACCGGGAGAGGGGCACCCAGGTCCAACACACTCGTCCAAAGAAGTCCCGTGCACATGGCGCGATGAAATATGTTTGGAAGGATACACCAATAAAAAGAATCATCGCCCGACAGGCTTCAGCATGACAAATAACAGGCATTGAAATTCATCGTCACCCAAAGAGTCAAATGCTAGATCTAGTGGCATGTTCTTCTTAGTATGTATTTATTTAAACAAAGCGTCGGTGTTGATAATTTATTTTTAAGTCCTCACTTCTGAATTACTTTATGTGGGGAGTAGTTATTTATAATCAGATATGAAGAACACAGGAAAACAGCAGGTATTTGTACTTGTGTCGAAATGCACTTAAACACGTTTTAAAATCTTTTCTTTTTAAAGTAATCCACTAGCAATAAAAATATGAGAAGTATTCATCTACTGTGACAAATCAAAGTGCAGTCTTTTAACAGCCTTTAAAACTGAATTAGCAGTAATAAGTATTCCCAATGCTATCTAATTACATAGGTAACATTTTACAAAAACTAATCAAAATTATATTTCAGATATGAAGTTAATAAAAGTGCTATCCCTCTATCTACTCCGTCAAAAATATGCTACCTTTAAGGAGCCATGCAGTTCTGAGTAAAATTAAAGAACAAATTCACTTTCCCTTATTTGGATATCTTCAAATTAATAAATTCTTTACTTAAAAATCCTTGACACTAATTTCTCTTAATTTTTACTATAGAAAAATGCCTTTAAAATTTATATAATTTAATGGTTTGGGGTCTTTTGTTCTTTGTGTTTTCACTTTCCTTAAACCAGTAATAATAAAGGAATGTGTGTGAAGTCAGATAATGCTTTTGTTCTTTCCCTTTCTCTCCTTTCCCCAATAATAACCTTCTATTAATTCATTTCCTAGTGAAGCTAAAATAATACCAAGGCATTCAGCCAATTAAAAACTGGGCCAAAAAAAACCCCCAAAAAACAAAAAACAAAAACCCCCCAAACTATTCACATCTGGTTGGCAATATTTGGCCAAATAAAACAAAACTTAAAAAGCAGGAAAACCATTCTTTATGAATTTACTCCATCAACACAGCCAGCCCAAGAGTTTAAAATAAGGAAGCTGCTGTTTCTGAAAGAGGAAACCTTCCATAAAGCTCTCTCCTGGGATGCCTGTCATTTTACAGATCATTCCAGACACAGTCCTTCTGCAAGCATTAGATTAAAAGCAGGTTTGATCAAATAATTCCCAGGTCCTGCCTACTTAAGTATTGTGACATCAGAGGAAATTAGCAATGTTGAAGGTTGCAAATTTGCTCTTTGTTTACTTTCTACTCTGTTAGGCCTCTAAGAGGGAATTAAAAGCTCAGAGAGCCCTAGCTCTGCTGAGTCTGTGATTAGAAGAGATAAGCTAGTGTGGATTCTATTTCTTCACTGGTGAAAAAATAGGCAACAATCAAAAGACTATAGACTGATAAGGAATACAAAAAAATCTGATTATAACTTATGCATAGCACCTTGAGGAGCACTTGTTTCAACAGTTGCACCAAAGAAGAAAATAGGACCTGCTTTGGCTTCCTCTTAGGGAACCCTCTGTAATACCACTCTATAATGGCAGAGTCTTCCTATCCTGTTTGTTTTTATTTTTCAGCTACTGTTAGGGCCATAAACTCTAACTATGGCACAGAGAGCATTTAAAACTGCAAGTACTCTGTTAATATCATCCCATTCTAAGCATTCTTGTAAAGTCCCGAATCAATTCACCAAGTAGAAACTCATTAAATAAGAGAAGATAGAGGAGCCAAGTTGGGACAGTTTGATACACAGGATAATTACTTAATCACGTGAAAAGCCATCAGATGCTATACTTCATAGATTAATGTCAAAAGAAAATTTAAGATTCCAATTTTTAAATTTATCCATGGTTGTGTAATAATGACTCAACTGGTCAAGAGCTTAAATATTATAGCTGTAACTTACAGCATTATATATAAGAACCAGGGACCACTTCTAAGTCAAAATTTGCTGCCATTTGAAGTACACAACTAGGGTAAATGTTCTGCTGTAGTGTTTGAAACTAGCCAATAACTGATTTCCTTCTTTTAATTTCAATGTATACAAAGCTTAAAGGTCACACCCAAATATATATACATGCACAATTAGTTAGCAGTAAAGACATTTCTGGACAAGGTTACAGAAACTAAGTCATATAAACATTTGTCTCCACCACTGCCACATATCTGTTCTATAACAATGTCATTATTGCACTTGAGGACAAAAATGTATGGGTCTCTAAGGGGGCAGAAATGATACATATATTCAGACACATGTTCCTTTGTGAAAGCTATAATGTCCAGTTAGATAAATTCTATCAATAAAATTGATAGATGGCAAGAGATAGCAAGACAGCAATCTTTGTTTTCTAGAATATGACATAAATAATACACAAATGTTTAATGACATGATGTCAAAATTTAGTCATGAGAAGTCTCAAAGATGCAGATTAAATTGACCATCTGCACAGTCTGCCATGAAGTAAATCGTTCATCATTTTTCATGAAGAACTGTTCAAGTATTAATGAGCCAGGGCTATAAAAGTTTCCAAACCAATGGATGAAAAATGCAAAGCATTTTTTTAGTACTTAGAAGTGAAACAATTCTGAACCTATCACTTCTCATGTGTTGTCCTTTTGTCTGTCTTTATTATTTTTGCTTAGAACATAAGCATATAACCATACTTCATGATCCACCTAAGACACATAGTGACTTTCAGTGATTGTACCAGCATTTAAAATCAGTCATTTAAAATTCAGTTGCCGGACAGAAAAATAACTTTTAAAATCAGTTTTTATAAATAAAAACAATAAGCAAATGAAGGAATAAATAGAAAGTTATTCTCTGATAGGCTGTTACATAGGAAAGTATCTAAGAATATCCATTTTCAAACAACTTTAAATTAATCTCCCTATATAAATGCACTTTTTCTTATTAAAAAACAAAAATCACCCAAAGGAATTCTGTTTGTGCAGCCTCTAGATGTCATACTTGACCAACACTTGGGGTAGAAAAAAATCTATTTGGGGCTTCTTTCTATTCCCCCCTACTTGCCACACCCATCAAATTATTAAAAGACAAACCATTTCACTTTTTATCTTTGTAACAGGTTGCCACAGATTTTACTTGCTTTCCAAATTCTGACTCTAATATTCACCTTCTGTTTTCCTTCTAATTCCTTTTTCTTTATAACCACTTTATTTGTTTTGTCTGTTGGTTGTTTAGTTGATTAGTTTGCTGGTTTGTAGGTATATGTGGGAAGGGGGGCGCAGATGCCAAGTTTCAGATTGTTTTACAGAAAAAAAATTAATTCCATAGGTTTTCCATTTTATTCAAAACTAAACCAGTTTGGAAACAATAAAGATCTGCTACAAAGAGTTGGACCCCTTGTTTTTAGAGTAAAAATGTATCATATTTTGGTTCAGATCCTTCTAGTATTTAGGAAACAGATCACTTGCTATAAGCTTTATAATAAGGATCCCATCCTAGGTGGTACATGAGGCATCAATAGTCCCTGACACAAGGCAGTACCCCAATCGTTAAAACATTTCACCAGTGGTAACTTGGGAGAATATTTGCATAGAGAAAACCCCGGCCAATGCAATGAGTCAGGTGTTGGAAAATACAGAAGTATAATGTATTCAAAGGCAACAGAAGTGAGTACATATCACTAGTTGTGCTGGTGACCTATAGATGTATAACAAAAAGGGACTGGCCTTTAACAAACAACTAAAAGCTAAACATGAAGGCCAGGAGACCTTAAAAAGAGACCCTTTTCTCCCTCAGAGGCAGAGTAAAATAAGCGGAAGATCAAATTGAAAACTCAATAGTTAAGAGTTGACAACTGCAAAGATAAGTAAATAATCAACTGAGGCAAGTTTGTTACTCAGGACTCTGCGTGGGAAAACCTGGTACCTGGCACGTGGGACAAGCCTCTCTGCGCGGATGCCCCATGTCTTTCGTTCCCCAGATGCCTCTGAACTCTCAAAGACTTCAGAGGCAGTCCAACTCTTCCTGCTAAGAGCTGGCACACATCCTCTACTAGTTTGCAGGCTGATAATTAGGATTATGTTGCAGCATTAAGTCAGCCTAGGTCATGCTGGGCCTGTTAAGAAAGTAAAAGGACTACACAGCGAAGGGACTAGAAGAATTAGCTAGCAAGTAGTGGTAGAAGCCAGAAGACTATTCAGGAGGCTTCATCTTGAGAGCGTCTGGTTGGGGGCCAAAATATAAGACAGGATAAGAAAGAGTTTATTAACTAGGAGAAATACTTCAAGGATATGGAATTTAATACTGCGCCAAGGACTGAAAGGGATGGTGCAAACTGGTGGATCCTGGAAGTCTGGAGAAACAGTGATGGAAACTGAAATGCCTAAACAGCCAACCAAGACAGTGAAGAAAGGGACATGCTGGAGTAGATACATTATGCAAGGAAAAGGAAGACCAGAGAAAGGATTATGCTCCTCCAAGGGAACACAAAGAGAGCACACCAATCACCCAGGCCAAGAGGAACGGACTGATGAGAAGGAAATCAGCACCACTGAGTTCTAGGGGGGACTCTGTGCATGCCACCAGTAGGAGAGGTGGTCACACAGGTTTAAGTCTCTGATTCATTTGAATTACTTTTTGTACAGTTCTAAATCCAATATTTTGCACATGGATATCCAATTATCTCAGAACCATTTAAAAGATTGCTATTTTTCTCACTGAATTATCTCAGCACCTTTTAATCAAAAGTCAACTGGCCACTCAATAAACATAACTAACTACTACAT